ACTGTGTTATCACGTCAACACGTACGATCCCCTGTTTCCCTGCTGTTGTGTTTCCACTCCAGCAATTGCCAGCTGAATATGACGCATACGCCGTGTTGTTCAACACAAATTGCGTCGCAATTTGTGGCCCCAAGAAGGAGGGAGGGAGAGAACCAGAGACTACTTCTGGGGTTCAACCACCCTCCAGCTCCACACGAGTGCTTAACCCAGAGATACTTTTGGCAGATTCAATATCATCAGATTTATCTGATATCTCGGATCTGTGGGCATCTGGGGGTTACGTTGCGTTACGTTACGTTTGCCTCCCAAAATATTTGTCAGCCCATCTACGGCGCGACCTTGGCTGCCGCCCTGAACTCTGACATTACTTTCTGTGTGCTGGTTTTTTGTGCGTTTTTGGGGGCCACAATTTATGCGACAACGCATAACGATATTTCCCAGATGTAACGCGCGAGAAGCAGCCAGAAAAATCTTCACAGTCAGTTGACTCTGACCAAATATTAGAGAAGCGAAAAAAAGAAAGGAAAAACCCACGATGAGGAGACAGCAACAGAAACAGAAACAGAAACAAGATGCCGCTGTTTTATGGAGGGGCTGACATTTAGCAGATAAAGGAGGAAAGACTGATGGAGGAGGAGACTGTAGAACGCCCACATGACGCAATGGGAGAAGCCAAAACCCACCCACGCCCCAATATTAGAGCTTTGAAAGATTTTTAAGCACAGAAAATTCGCCCAATTTAAATGCAATCAAAGAAATGGTATAAATCAACGCTAGAAAAAGTGTACGTCGTGTGGGCCACGCCCTCATTGAGATGCAAACATTAAGCGACAGAAAATAGCGAAAGTATAATGCATATTAAAAGGAATATTTAAATAATTTACAGAACAATTGTCTGTCACTTGGCCCCATAAAGTTCACCATAAAGTGCAGAATGCATTATTTTCTTTTCTTCCGAGAAATTCTCTTGCGCAAATTTAGCGTCAAATCGCAAGAGCAGTAAAAACAAAGCGACTGCAAATGGGATTAGGATGGGGATTAGCATGGGGATGGGGATTAGCATGGGGATGGGGAGGAGTGCAGCACTCACTTCCTGAAATTGAATAATGAACTTAATATTATTTTCATGCATTTCACATTTCCGTCAACAAGATTTCGAGTCTGGCAAAGTGGCCATGACGAATCAGCCGGGAATTTGGCAAAGGGAAATCTCTTGCCATCAAGGAAATCTAAGGCTGACTGAAATCTCTGATATGAATTCGAAATAAAGCGACTGCTGCTAGAGAAATTAATTTCCGACAAATTCGAATTGTGGGGGAAAATTAGAGTACAATTGGAAGATAGTTTCCCCTAATGTTCCCAGGAGAGAACTGTACGAGAAGGGGAGTCGTAAACCCAAGACTCTGCACATAATGGTCAGCGGACAGATCCAGTTATCCATGGGCTCTGGATGATATTCCACAAGATAGACATCAAAAATGGTCACTCCCCCCTGTGGTCAGCTGGGGGTCGCTCTGGTGTGCTCTGGTGCTGCGTCGCTCTTGGGGTGTCGCATAAAGTTTCGCCATCTTTTTGTGTGCTGCTGTTCCGTTTTATGGCCGCTCGTTTCGCGTTTCACTTGACGCAGTTTTATGGGCGTTCATTTGGTATTTAGGTCAGATTTTGCAGCCCCTCTGCCCCCCCCCCCCCTCTCTCTCTCTCTCTCTGTCTATCTTTCTTCTATCGTTTACATAATTCTGAGTGTGGCTGTGTGCGTGTGTGTTTGTCCCTCAATCAAAGCCTGGACCATGCGACGTATACGCAATGTATTTATTTTTAGCAAATTGTTTAACGACTTTAAGCACAATTGAATTGGGACTGAAGGAAGGAAGGAGAGGGGAGCGGGAAGCGGGAAGCGGAAAGCGGAAATCGCTCAAATTCTTTTTTCATTCATTTGCTGCATTCACATCTGAAAATGAATAGAAACTGATTCACGCTGTACATATGTGTGAAAAACACCTTGAGATTGAAATGCTTTCGCTATTGCCTTTGACTTTGCGGAAATCAAACTGAAAATTATATTCTAGGATTTGTTCAGATTTCTGATTTCTGTTTTCATTATGCAATTGCCGTTTCCCCATTCACCTCGAGCCCCCAATGTCGCCTGCCGTAATTATGCGCTAAGAAAATTCTGCTAAGATCTGCTCTTGCTCTTGCTCTCTCTTTATAATTAATTTATTTTGGTTGTTTTTTGTGGGGGATTTTGCAAGCGATTTTTAATGTGTGTGACGAAATCTGATTTTCAGTCTGCACACACGCCGCCAGTGCCAGTGGCGAAGATACATAGATACATATAAAAAGATACAGATACATGTGCAGGTGTATAGCGGAATCTGAAGCCAAGTGCAATTTATCAGCAGTTGGGCTTAAATTGTCTGCAGCGTTACGGAAACTTGCGGGCCCCGCGTGGAGATGCCTGCCTCGTTGGATCAGAAGAGAGAGAGAGAGGGGGGGGGGGGGCACAGTGGCAGGGGTTACGTAGAGCGTAAAATTCTCTAATAAGTGCAAATTGGTAGCAACAACAAAAACCACACACACACACACACACACACACAAAAACAACGAAACGACAGCCAGCCATCAGCGTTTGGCTTTGCATTTTAATTGCATTTTCTCGTATTTTTGTTTTTGTTTTTACACGACTGCAAGTAGAAGTATCTGATGGATACACATACAGACACACAGACACACTGGCATATCGAACGGGAAGTGGAGACCATGATATAATAAGCACATATGCGCATATAATTAGTATGCATATTATATACATACATAACACCGAGTTACGGGGTATCTTGACATCTTGATACGACTCTCGATTGGAACGGAGAATGTAATGCAATAGCACTTACGATTCTTACTGTGTAATCCAGCCCCAAGGGGTAGCACTAGCATATTATAAACCTAAACGACAACTCAGCATTATTTACCGTTACTTAGAAAGAGTATTCAGAATAGAAACGATCGAAAGTATCCTTCAAGCAATTACTGATCGAAATCGGTTGGCACCCAACCCAACGCCGACAACGGATCGTATCTTTCTGTTTTGAATTTTTACCCCATGCCGTTACGTTATCTTCTCCGTTATGTTTGGCACCTTATCCATTCACGTAACTGCGGGCTAGCGGCAGGGCGGCAGCAGGCAGGCTTATCTCTCAAACAAACCCCCCCCCCCCCCCCCAGCCTGTGGTAATCTCTGTGGTATATTTTTGGAAACCGAAAACAACAACAGCAAAAAAGGTGAAAAATAAAAACACAAGGAGCAAATAAACTGACAGACCATTTTACATAATCAACAACATGATTTTTGGTCGTAATCAAATGTTGCGACAAATATGTATGGAGAAAATGCAAATTGCTGGGCAGGGAAGGGCATTCAATGGGAGGGGGTGTCTGCGATGGGCATTTGGTCTGCGAGGGGAAGCAGCCGTCGAGCATTTGTCGATGTAATCGTTTTTGCAACAATTTGTACAACAACTGCAAGACGCAACAACACGATATCTGTTATAGGGCGCCCCCCCCCCCCCCCCCCCCCCCCCCCCCCCACCCCACCACCCCGCGCCCCTCCCCCCCCCCCTTCCCCCCCCCCCCCCCCCCCCTCCCCGCGCGTCGCTCGCGCCGCTGTTTTTTATGTTGCGTAATGTTAGGCTACATAATCGCGTTTTTTCTCGCCTTGCTAACAGCAGCTGCGCGCTCAAAGAATCTCTTAACGTTTAACAGCGGCAGAGCACGGACACAGAGCAAGAGCGAGTGAACAGACAGAAGCAGAAAAAGAGAATAAATATAAGAGAGACACTCGTAAGAGAACCCACTGCTAACAGAGAGAAAGAGCAAACACACTGTTAAGCTCTCTTCGCTGCTGTCCCTCTCTGTTACATTCTCTCTTTATGGCGCTGTCCACAAGTGGCCTACGTGACGTAGTGGGAACGCCGCCTTAGCGAGGGCGGCAGAGCGATTGCATGTGTGCAGTTGCTGACCTAGGAACGGGCAAGGGGAGGGCCTCCCCTGCTCCACTACCCACTCTATATGCACATAAATGTAAGTGTTGGTTTTTGTTGTTGGCGTACCTTCTTGATTTCACTTTCGTGTAGCATTTATCGATGGTCAATATTCGGCAAGCACTATGTAGCTCTTTCTCACTTGTGTCTGTTCTTTGATTCTTTGCACTTTTTGCACGCGTGGGTGAGTCATCCGAGAAGGTGATCGACACTGGAAGGTCTCTCTCTTCCTACTAGAATGGAGTTGTAACGGGACTCTTACTTTTTGCACTTTGCACAGGCAACCTCTCTCTGATTTCATGCTGGTAGCCAATACATCCAAGAACACGTTCTAAGTTTCATTCTCATTCATCTTCGTTCCTCATCCGCATCACAGATACATTTTCACTTGCATCACGTCTCTTATCACAGACCCTGATTCACTCGCGAGCGCGTTTAATGACGGACTAAATTCGTCACAGTTGATGAGATCAGAGATAAGAACAGCTTGCAGCAGCCATAGAAAAAGCTTCAACGATGGACTGCGGCTATGTCTTGCAGCCGGAGCTTTTGTTCTCCGCTGCTGATCGTTGAAGAAAGAGAATGATAATTGGTTTGGTCGAGTGACGTCGCTGCTAATGATCGCCTCTGCTGTGGGCGCCGTCGGCGCTTCTGACGGACACATGTAAGTGGCGGAATGTGAAAACGGCGACACGCGGCGGACGACGGCCAATTGTTGATTTGGCGCGCGTGTGGAAAATGTTCCCCGATCGTCGTGCATCTACATATCTACTATGTATTACATCTATTGGCAGCCAAAAATCACTTTGGCAAGACATCTGCTCCATGGCGAGTGATCTCGAGATGCCACACTTTGACAGCAGGCGACACTAATTGAGCGATTTACACAATTTTACACGTCCATCCATCCATCCGCACAATAATCGTGTGTTTAAACGATCTTCTCTATATTTTTATTTGCAGCACCCACGAACTTGAAGTGCCTCTGTCTGCGGGCGGAAGTGCTCCTCAAGCTGAATCACTATCAGAGTTCGCTGGCGGACATTGAGAATGCTCTGAGGACGCGCTGCACATCGCCCAAGGTGAGTTTTAAAGGGGGGAGGAAACCCCCCGAGAGATGAAGTTGCTGTAATGATGAATGTATATCCACAGGCACATTACTTGCGGGCCTTGGCTCTAAGTGGTCTGGGCCGACTGGAGGATGCCCTGTACAATGGCTTTTTGGCCATTTGCCTCGACAAGAATAAAAATCTCAGCAACTCGGAAATATTTCAACATGATCTCGCCAAGGTAAGGAATAGAAGAAACGAGCTTGGAGACCGATCCGTACACTAATCAACGTTCCATCGTTTAGATACTGCAACGTCTCCTGGCCCAAATGCCCAAGAATCGAGTGGCGATCGGTCAGGTGACGCCGCCGGTGGTCCGCAGCTATGCCACCAGCAGACCTCCCTATCCCCTGCTGTGGGAGCAGGTGCGACGCCGCAGGAAACAGCTGCTCCACCATCACCACCTGCACCACCTGCACCACCACCACCACCACCATCATGTGCATCTGGACGATGTGGAGGACGAGTTCGGGCACTACGACAACTACATTATGGCTGGGGACGAGATGGAGATGGAGGAGGAGGTCGAGGACCCCTCCCTGATGGAGGCCAGAGATCCGAGTGCCATGCACCTGGATGGAGACTTTCTGTTCCCCAGCGCCCTGGACTTTATGCACCACGATCGCCACCAGCGCCACGTGTACGAGCAGAAGCAGTTCGATCTGCAGCCGCGTCGCCACGGTAACAGGAAGCACTGCAAGCGGAAATGGTCAGCGGCCATGGAACCCCTCGGAGGCGAGGCCAATCAGGAGGATGGTGTGGATCATGTGGATCATGCGGCCGCGGAGGCGGAAGAGAGTCGCAGGTGTAGTCGACTATTTGCCAGCGTCCTCGAGCGCACACAACAGGAGCTGCAGCGACTGAAAAGTGAGTGGAACGAGAGAATATGCTCCTGGAGAACTGCTCCTCTAATCCTCCATTCCCCATTCCTTTGCAGAACTCGAAGGATCGCTGCAGGCGCAGGCGCTCACGGCAGTGGCCGATCGACTGCTGATCGATGCCAGCGACTTTGACTGCGTCCTGTGCGGCCACACGCTGTGGAGGCCGGTGGTGACGCCCTGCGGCCACACCTACTGTCTGGTATGCTTGGATCGTTGCATGGATTACAAAACCTCCTGTCCATTGTGCTTGTCGCCACTTGTGGAATTCAATGTCAATGCCAGTGCCAGTGCCAGTGCCAGTAACAATTCCAATGGGAATGCCAATGCCAATGCCAGTGCCAGTCAAAGTCAAACTCAAACATACAGCAATCTGTATCAGGGCTCATCCTCGCCCGTACCCTTTGCGCTGGCCAAGCGGCCAGTGACCAAATTCCTAGAAGCCGCAATGAAACGATTCATTCCAGACCACTACGAGGCGCGCTTTCGCCAGGAAATCGACGAGGAGCCCTCGGTGCCGGTCTTCATCTGCACTGCGGCCTTCCCCTCGGTCCCCTGTCCACTGTTCGTCTGCGAGCCACGCTACCGACTGATGGTGCGGCGAGCCGTGGAGTCCGGCGACAAGACCTTCGGCATTGTCCAGCCGAACAGCAGCAAGTCCCGCTACTACGACGTGGGCACCATCCTGGACATCCGCGACTGCGTCCAGCTGAGCGACGGCCGCTCGATCCTCAGCACCATCGGGTGCAAGCGCTTCAAGATACTCGCGCGCAACGAGAAGGACGGCTATGAGACGGCCAAGGTGGAGTACATCTGCGATGAGCCCATAGCCGCGGAGCAGGTCAAGACGCTGGCCAGCATGCAGGGCCTAGTACTGGCCAAGGCCGTCGGCTGGTTCGAGAGCCTCAGCACCGAGCAGAAGCACGAGATCCTGCAGAGTTATGGCCAGATGCCAGCCCTCGAGACGAACTGGGAGCTGATCAGCGACGGCCCCGCCTGGGCGTGGTGGATCATTGCCCTCCTGCCGCTCTCCCAGCAGCTCAAGGTCAGTTCTCAGCACTGATTCCATGCTCAATCCCTCTAATTCTCCTCGTTTGTCCTCTTGCAGGTGGACATTCTGGCCACCACTTCGCTGGAGAAGCGGCTGAGAGCCATCGAAAAGACCCTCGACTTGCTGCACGATCTCAGCCATCCGCAGCAGGAGCCGCACCACCACCACCACCACCATCATCACCATCAGCAGGCGCCACAGTCGCCCCAGCAGCCGCACGACCTGAGTGGCCTGGCTCTGGACTGCGAGGAGCAGGACACGGCCTCAGCAGCAGCGGACGAGTGCTGCCTCTATGCGGAGGCCGCCGTCACTGAACCTCACACAGACGAAGAGCTGCTCCTCTAGGGCAGTCGAAATCAATTGATGTATAAGCTTAGCCATAAGATATGTCTGTATTTAGTAATAGGAAGAATGAAGAGGCAGGCAGTAGGAGCGAGAAGAACATTGTAAATACATACATTGTGTGTCTAAAGCCATTTCGTCGTTACATGTTAATCCTAGGGGCCAAAACCGAAAGCGAGACAACTTTAGAAGAACCAAAACTATCACTAGATCAGCAACATAATCGATAGATGTATAGATCCTATAAGTGCATGATGTGTACACACAACAAGTCTGTATAGAAACCCTGAGCCCCTGAACACCAACAACCCCAAGAAACCAGTGAAACAATCAAAAGTTTGCTCTTGGCCCAAACCCATAGTCCCTTCCGCCAACAGGTCCACCCCTCTAGACGTACTCTTCGACAACAAAAACCACATTCCACAAGTCTTTCAGATGCGTTTGCCATAGCAAGAGACACATGCATACAGGTGGAAGGTCTAACGTGTATTGTAGTGTGTAATCTTTAACAGACAAAACTCATGGTTTCTACAAACAAAATACACAAATTTTAACTAAATGCTAAATGAATACTAAATATTTAGAAAACCCACAATTCAAAGGCCAACAAACATACACAGAAAACAGAAGAACACAACCAAGAAACTTCAACGTTCGAGAATCGTCAACTCTTTCTTCATTTACTTCTTGTAAAAAGCGGCTGGAACTCTAAGACAATCTGCAATATTTTTTTGATATACCTAAAAACAAAGCTAAGAAACTACAATTTAAAAAACTAAAACAAAAACGATATACAACAAATAAAATACGAACTAGAAACTAGTTGAAAAACCCAAAATAAACGCTAGGATTAAAACTATGTATTTTTGTTGCCACAACAAATTGAATTCAATTTCATTGTAAGACCCCCAAAACACACTCTCTCTCTCTCTCTGTATAACTCTTTCACTCTCTCTCTCTCTCTCTCTCTCTCTCTCTTGATTATGCTCTTAGGGCAATTATATATACTTACGCTATATCCTACTATATGCTTACTGCTTCATTCTGTATTCGTCGTATCTTCAGCCCGCATTCCTATCGAAGCAACGACTTTGATAATTCTACGCTACGACTTTGTATTCTTTCTGATTCTCTCACCCTCATCCTCACCTTTAACCTCTCTATGCATAAAGCAAATCAATTTTAAAAACAACAATTTGCTTTATCCCCTGTATATATCAATATGTAATACCTACTACATAAAAGCATCCCTAAATTATATATATGTATGTAAACTATGGCATATTTCCTCTACTTTAGCGATAGAACACGAATTTAGTTTTCAGCTCAACACAAAAACAAACAAAGAACACGAAAAATACCAACTTTTGTCCACTAAATATTTATGTAATTTTGTACGAGTATAAAAATCGAAATTAAAGATCATTTTGTATTTCATTTTAGCAACTCCAAGCCCAAGCCCACTCCCAAGCCCAATCCAAACATCATATGACATTTTGTTGTGTCTAGAATTGTTGTAAAAATTGCTTAAGATTCAATCTGCAACACTTTTTTCTCTGTGTTTTTTGTGCTTCATCAACTTTTGTACTGGTACTTCCTAATTTAATAACGATGTAAAATAAAAGTGACAACAAATTCATAAAATGTAAAAAATAAAAGCAAAACTTTTCTTTATGGCCATTTTGCAGGGAAATCGGATAGAGTAAGAGCAATGCCCACTTCAAGGGTCTCTTGAAATACTCTTTATGGTCGGAACTTCTGTTCACAATAGAGCAAACACTCTCTCACTTCAAAGTCTTTGGAAAATCTGGGTCAACGGGAAAAACTGAACTTCAGTTCAGCACCTCTCGACATTTGCATAGACCTACATCTATATATCCTGCCCATTGCATTAGAATGCGATAAAACTTTCAAATCGAAACCCAGCGAAACTTGTTTATTCAGCCTGCAGTGTTACGTAAGCATCTGATAAATATCAAATTTCTAGTGCAGGCTCTAGGCTCGCCAGCAGTGCGAGTATTAGGCAATCGAATTGCATTGGAATTGGAATTGGAATTGGCTACCGCTACCGGGAGATTCTGGGTTCCTTGGGGAAGCTGATGGGTCGTACACCTCCACATTTACACACCTACATGTATCTCAGTTTGCTAGAACTCAAATCTGTTTACTTATGAAATATTCATGGGCTGAATTTGCGTACGTATGAAATGTGCAACAGAACAAAAGGATACCCTTTATACAGAACGCCATCTAACTGGTAGCTATGGATTGTCTGCCACTAAAAAACAAATCGAAATCTCATAAAGATTCTCTGGGTGGACAAGAGATCCTTTCATTCCTTTCCGCTTTTAATTTCATGTCAATATGGAGGGCTGCCCCGAACCTATGCCAAGAACCTATAGAACAGACCTTGAACTTGAATCAATAGCAAACAAAACTGCTTTTGCATGCATGAAGAGCGTCCCCCCCATTTAAGCTCCAAGTGCATACCAGAAGAGCACATCAGAAAAGCAAGGGGAATGCCAGATAACAAACAAACGAAAAAAGGTGGCAAGAAAAGCAAATACGTCGACGAAATACAACCCCCTCTGTGTGCGCTAATAGTTATACCCCACAAAAAGAGAGAGAGGGAGAGAGCGCGAGAGAGAGAGAGAGAGAGAGCCCCCCTCCGATACGTGTAAAAACTCAACTCAATCCGGACTCACGATCGGCCAATGTGAAGTGCATTGCCGTTGAGTGGGTTCTGCGGGAGAGCAGAGACTCCGAGTGGAATGCAGTATTAAATAATAGCACGGCAGGGGCGCTCGCCAATCAGTCAGTCGGTCATTCAGGTAGCGCTCGGAATATATCGCGTATACGCCCCGGCCGGCAAAGTCGCTCAGGTTTCTCAGGTTTCTCAGGTCTCTCCCGCTCTCACAGTTGCACTTTTTCGCTGCTTGTGTGTGTGTGTGCGTTTCTTAGGGTTTGGGAGCCCTCTCGCATTTCGTTGCATTTCGCAGTTTTCGTTTATCCACTGGTAGTTTTTCCTGGGTCTGAGTTCTGGGTTCTAGCTCTGCGGGCTTAGAAACTGCAGTTCCCGTACCGCCGTTCAGTTCGATTCCAACACGCGCAGCGACAGCGAGCGGATCTCTTTGCCACTCTCAATACGCTGAATACCGCCTGGATACGCCTGGTCTCGGAGTCGGCGGAGAAGAACCGATTCGCCCGGTTCGGTCCGGTTGGCGCATGCTTTGCACAATTATTTTTTATATTACAAGTATTTATGCGATTCTGCAGCGTCTGACGTACATATGTCGTCGTCATCGTCGCGTATTGTCTCTGGATCTCTGGCTTTAGCTTTGGATTCGGTTCTCTCTTGCGTCTCTCTTCCTCTGTCTGTAACTTGATCGCAAATTACACGCTTTCGACGTGGTCGCTTCTCGTGCTGCAGCCCGGTTTTTGGTTCCGTTTTTTTTTTGTTGGTTGTGTTCCTCCCGCCCCGCGCTTCCAAGGAATTTCACATTTTTATGCTGACAGTGCCCGAAAAAGTGTTTCACGGTGAATTAAAACGTCTGCAAAAATGTCGATGAAACATCCGAGAAGCGGGGAAAACTTCAAATATTATGTAATTTGTTAACTCAGTTCAAAAGTGCTGTAATAAGAGCACAAGTGTGAGCCGACGGCTCTTCAAAAACTTAGAAGTTACATGAAAATGTCCTGGAAACAAGTGTAGAAGTGTGCAAAGTTTTTCAAACTATAGCCCGATGTTCAAGGGGAACGAAGTGAACCCATGCACGGGATCACCCGAAAAAATCCCCACAAATCGTTAACCGAAAAACTATTAAAGTCGATGCCAGAAATGATGGCAGCAACATCCATAAAAATGGGTACAACAGGGGAGCAAAAAGTGCAGTTCGACTAAAGTATAAAGCCATTTATTAATTTAGCTACTAATTACCAAAAGTACACCAAATGTACACCAGATCCGCCAGTGAGCTAAACCAACAAATCAGCTGCCACAAAATGCCAGTCAATTGTGTGGAGTGTGTGAGCCATAAAAGTGAAGTGAAACAAAAACCAAAACCAAAAGCAGAAGCAAAATGCAATGTAAAAGTAAAGCAAAGGCAGACGCAGAAATCTATTAGAGAAGTGGCCTGTCCAAAAGAAGAGATAAGGCCGTAAATGAGGCCAAAAGAGTAAATGAAAGTGCATTCAATAAAAGTTATCCGGCAATAGAGAGGACGGGAACTAGACCTGAGTCTGTCTGATCTGCTAGGCCTTGACTATGGCGCAAAATGTTATTAATATAGATACAAACATTCATAAAATATGTATCCATATGTACATACATTTGTATATTAAAACATTGATACGATCCATGCGAGTTTTTCATTGTCAAAGTCGCCCGCCACTCGTCGTGTGCCAGGGTATACATGGCCTGAGCGGGAAGTGCAGAGAAAAGTGCATCTATTGTTGATCCCACACGCGCCAGGAGCATCTGGAACTGCAGATGTGTGATCTTCGCTGCAGTAAAACGTTGCTCCAGCAAAAACATTCCTTCGAGGAAGGGAAGATATGGAATTCCCTCTCTTTTTCGATCTTAAACTTCATGAGATTTCAACTGCAGGTATCCCGCTAGTCGCGACACTTGGTGCGCTTTTATTTTGTAATTTTTTACTTGTTGGCTGACAAGTCTCGGGTCTGGGCTCGCGTCGCGGGGCTGGCGTCTTTTAAACGTCATCGTCAGCGTTTGACTGCGGCCCGAGGAGAGTATCTATCTGTGTGTGAGTGTCACGGCAGTGTGAGTGCGCGTGTGCATTTCGTGTGCAGCTGTGTGTGATCATGCGGCAGTCACACACAATCTCGCTCTCTCTCTCTCTCTCTCTCTCTCTGTCTCTCTCCCTAAGCGAAAATCGTTGCTTCAATTGACAACACAAAAACTATAAACAAAAGGGAAAGATTTCAGTTGATTCAAGTTCAACTTCGACATCAGGCGCCAGCGGCCCATCGTCCCACATCAATACTCCGGACTCTTAAATAATATTCCAGCCGCGGATGGTACTCGTATTATTTGCGGTTTGGCGGGGCGTATGTCTACTTGACTTTAGTTTGTGCAAATCGACATTTCTGGTTGATACGATGAGATAAGCAATTGATTGACAGCTCAAAAGTTGTATCACAAATGACTTGTTGCAACTTTGAGATAGCGAAAAAGAAGCGGGATTTTGTTGAGATGCAACAAGATCCACTTGTGGGTGTCCATTTGGACTTCATCAAGCATACTCCATACACAAAATATCCGCAAGCAATGATGCAGTTCAAATGATGATCTGTTGAAGAGGATAAGATGATGATTAAAAGATGAAGTGCTGCATTAAATGTCAGTCATTTCAGTCAGGGAAAGCCAACCACGAAATCGGTTTCATTAAAAACTATCGAGAATCAATTACGATTCCAAGAAACACATTGACCACTTGAGAACCGGCTAAATGGAGGGGCCTTTAACCCCCCCTTTATAAGCTGCACAAAAAAACTTAAAACTATATACTTAAGACTTGTATTTGTCGATAGATAGAGGCGATAGAGGCGGAGACTGAGAGCCCTGTCTAGCTAAATAAATCAATGAACGGCAATTGGCAAAATATAAAAATAACAAAAATAGTGAAAAATGTAATTAAGTCAAGTTGAAAGCAACAGACAGCTTAAACAGAATGAGATGGACTGACACAAATTGGCAGGGCTCTCTGTGAAAGAGCAAAGGAGACAAAAAATATTACAAGCCAGAGCTTTGCAAAGAGGCGGAACAAAGTGGAAAGAAAGCAAAATAGAAATAGGCGACAGGCAAAGAGAATTGGGAAAGGGAAAAAAGTGCACACACAAAAAACAAAAACTGCACAGCGCGAGGTATGAGTATTGGGTATTATCACACAATCGCACACAAATGCACACACACACAGAGACAGAGATAGAGACACAGATGCATACATGGACACTATGCTGTAATCGTCGCAATGCAATTAGCATTGGAACCGAAAGCTCAAGTTCACTGACAAAGAAATCAAACACTCGCACAGAAAGAGAGAGAGAGACAGAGAGGGCGCAACACAGTGATGTATGGAGGCACACACACACACACACACACACACACACACACACACACGCATGCACATTCCGAGTATGCGATAATTTTTGTAACCGAACGAAGCTTTACAAATGCAATCAAATGACGTTAGTTCCCCCCTTCAGACCCACGCGGAGAGGCAGAGCGCGAGCGAGCAGAGTCGGCGGGAGAGCAGGCACGCTCCACAGATAGAGCGTGCAAGAGAGCGAGATGGAAGACAGGCAGATACCCCGCCCGAGAGAGACAAAAAGAGAGAGAGAGAGAGCGCTTACTCGTGAGTAGGTCAGTCAACGATCTTCGGGACGGGTTGAGTAAACTTGCCTCTTGCCATTGCTCTGCACTCGACACTCGCACGTAAAGCCTCCTCACCCAACCGGCTTTCTGTGCTTTTTATTTGTTTTCATTTTTCTACCCCACTCATTGGTTTCCGCATTGCAAATAAATATACTCGCACACATGTCCATACTTTGTACCATATAATAACAGGCACAATGTTGTCAATGCCAAATGTTTAATGGGTCTGAAATGCAGTTGATGACGGTATAATTAGATTCTAATTCGTTTGGGGGGTTGTTATACTCGTATTATCTTTTGATGGATATCTGCAAAGCAGCGTTAGTTGTTGTCTTCTCTTATGGAAATTAATAGAGTTTTCTCTTGCATCGAAAGGTAATCCTCTCCCTTGTGTGACAACAAACATAATTACCCCCACACATTGAACTCTAATTTAATTCGGGAATATACCCTTTACATCTGCATCTGCAACTTAAGGATTTGCCAGGATTCTAGCGAACATCTTTGACCCAATAACTGCCAGAGCAGTGATTCTGTTCGAGTCGCACACGACAGAGTTGGCAATAGTCCACATTCCTGGACTTAAAGTTAACCCCTTCAATCATATTACCCGACACTCTATCGGTGTCTCCATCTACGAGTTTTCTACCTTTTTCCTCTAAAGTCAAGCCAAACCAAACGAACCGCACTAATTGCAATACGAGCCATTAAACGAGTCATTGGCAATTATCTGCTGACTGGCGACTCTGGCAACAGTTTGAGCCACCGGCCAGGTCCGAGGCCAGAACCCGACCCAACAGCTACTTACGGTTAGCCAGCAAAACACTTGGCAAGCCGAGAGCAGAGAGGGGGAACTGGGCTTTGATGTGTACGGAGAAGTATTTAAAACGTTTGTGCCTGGTGTGGTGGTCCCTTTGGTGTGGACATGTGGGAAATTATGAGCCGCGTTTGGGGTCTAACCGGATTAATTACCAGCTGCTGCCTGCCCCAAAGAACAACTCCCGCTCTGTGCTTGCGTTCTGTAGGATTTTAAGCTGCTTTTCAATTTTAATTAAATGCTGATTTTATCCTTGATTTATCAACTTTAAATTGGTCCAACTGCGACGTCAGTTGTTCGAGATGTTTTCGGCTTCCCTGCTTTCCCGTGCCGTGGCAAACAAAGTGCATTTCAGAGGCTTGCAAATAGAACCTTTGACATTTTGATGGAAACGAACGAAAGTTTTCAAGTTTCCGTTGAGCAAGAAATTGCTTTCCTTTCGAAGGAAGCCCTGCAACTGCAAGCCTGGCAATTAAAACGGAATAATTGTGGCATTTTGTGCAAGGGAACAGAAAAATCCACCTCCGGAAAATGTTTGCGATAAAAAGGAAGTCAATATGAAAAGTGAACAAAATTATGCAATATGTAAGCGAATGTGTGGCGTGGCTGACTGATATATAAATAGGGCTCGGCGAGGGCGCAGCGGCACAGCAGCATCAAGAGGCAATGTCTATATACAGAAAGGCAATTGGCCAGCTGCTGCTCCAGCCATGCAACCACTCCGTCACTCCGTCACTCTGCCACACAACCCCATCTCCAGGCTCTGGCTGGGGCATCCTCCAGGCAGCTTCAACCCCATCCCAGAGTGCGACTGGTTGTTATGGCATTCGCTGAACGCATTTTGTAACATGACAAAATAGCGTAGCATACATTTCAGGGGTTGCAACTGTGCAACACGCTGCCCTGCCATGCCCTGCCATGCCATGCCATGCCCGTGCAACGATTGGGGCACGCCTGACTTGCAGATTGGCCGCCTGCCTCGGCTCGTGTCGGGTGCGGGTAGCCTGCGCAGGCGCAGCTCATTGTGTCTGTGAGGCTCTTACGTAATTCTGCCTGCCACAGAGCAGCAACAGCAGAAGCAGCAGCAGCAGTGTGATGCTGCCACCGAGTGAATCGAAACCCAAAGTGAAAACCAAAGCCGAAACAGAGTCTCAACTGCACTTGTTGCTGTCGGTGCGCGTCGTGCAGCAACATTAAGTCGAGAATCCAAAATGCGACGGCAAACTCTCGCACAAAAAAGTGACAAAATGAAGAATCGAATATAAATGAAGAATAAAATAATGAGAATTATCAACTGGATAATGCTTATGCCTGTCAATCCTCCTTTCAGTTGATCAAAATGTGGCATATTGAGCATGTGGAAGTCAATTTTTGTGCGAACATAACCTGAACCTAGACTTGAACGCAGACTCAACGAATAAACAGAATCGGAATAATACAAACTATGTGAACCAGAAACTAATTGTCGCATTTGTGTGCCAGTCTTCAATAGAAGTGGGAAGGAAGGGCAGCGTTTCCTTCAGTTCTCCCCACCACCGCCACCACGGCCCCCTTTTCGGTTTGTTTGCCCTTTGTGGTCTTATTTAAAGATTCGTTCGGTCCAAGGATTACCCAATAGATACAAAAATGGACGACGAGAGCGATGACAAGGATGATACGAAAAGGTAAAAACCCCTACACATTACTCACACGCACCTTGCCTGCCCTACGCTTAGACACACCCACACCATTCACATTTCTGCGGATGCGGAATACGCTGTACGGTGTACGGTGTACGAGGCTATTCATAAATAGATACTCATACAATCTGCAAGTGACAGATGACGGAGAAGAGAACACGACACAGGGCACTGTGCGACAGGGCCAGTGCCAGGGAAGGAGGGAAGCGTGTTTCTTTTTGAAATTTTCCACCAAATAAAAGAATAATTGTCTCCCAAGACCATTGCTGTCGTCCGCTTTCATTGCCTGGACTCTGCGCTAATCTAAACACCTTCCGCTTCGAAAGAAACATCCTGGTGGCGGGAGCTGAGGGGCCAATGGAAAAGCTGGAGGAAGGCGTTCACTTTTGTGGGCCAACGTCCAGTGACATTGGTAACCCGAGTGCGGATTCAATTTGTGCAGCCAATAATTAGTTTTTCTTGTGGCTATTTATTCGATTGAGGCACAAAACATATTAGTAATGGAATATCCAACTAAAGAGAGCTAGACGAGTCCAATCTACTCATTGGATACACCTTTACTCGATAGGCTTTTGCTTGTATTCAAATACTATTTAAGAAAGTTTCCTTTGGATATTCCCTAGGGAATTGTTCATAAGTGGCTGAAGGGAATTCGGGGAATACCAGTGATGAAAGTTGAACTAAGGAAACATTCAAATGTAGAGGACACAAATCTTTTCTCCATATTTGCACTTGCAGCAAACGCATCCCCAATATTTTGTGAAGGTATTCAAAGCCTGGCAAATGTTCTTCAATTTTCAACAACTCCTCAAATCAAATAAATACATCTCAAGCTGGGTTCTCTTCCATTGGCTCCAAAAGTAAACTGAAGCTGCCAGCGACTGAAGACACACATTATTGAGGTGGAATTTGTTTTTAAAACATATCTACGAGCCAAACAATGTGCCCAAATAACTGACAATTACAGAAGATTTAACCAGAACCCACACGCTGACAGGCTGAGGCTGAACTGCGCGCATTAGCGTCAGCATTGGCCAGATTCCGACATGCAAATGTCAATGCCAGAGGGAAAAAAGTGAACTCTAGCGCACCAAATGCAAAGTGACAAAAGGTACAAGGAGTGCCCCGACCCGTCCTTCACGAGAATACACGTATGAGGGGGTGGGTGGTGATAGCATATGGGCATATAAGTCTAATCAACGCCAGACAATGCCTCAATGGGCAAGGCACACGTGGGGCACACAGCCTCACCTGAGGGTTGCAAATCGGACCCTCATCCATGTAGCAATAAAGAGATGAATATGAAGGATGGAGGAGGATGAAATGATGAAATGCTTGTGCCCGCCAATGCTTATCATGATTTTTTTGTGTAACTCGCAGTTTCCTTTGCAGAAAGTCTCGGAACCTGAGCGAGAAGAAGCGACGAGATCAGTTCAACTCCCTGGTCTGCGATCTGAGCACCCTGATATCCACCTCCGGTCGGAAGATGGACAAGTCCACGGTCCTCAAGTCAACCATTTCATTCCTGAGGAACCACAATGGTAGCTGAACTGTTTTTGCACCGTATTCCCCCCCTTATTGTTGATGTCACTTGTAACTCCCTTCAAACAGAGGCCGCGGATCGCTCCAAGGTGTTCGAGATACAACAAGACTGGAAGCCCACGTTCCTGAGCAACGACGAGTTCACGCACCTGATGCTGGAGTCCCTCGATGGCTTCATGATAGTCTTTGGCAGCATGGGCACCATATTCTATGCCTCGGAAAGTATTACCTCGCAACTGGGCTACCTGCCGGTATGTTCTTAACACTAACGTATTCCGAAAGTGAAACTTACCGAAGTGAGTCTTTCCAGCAAGACCTGTACAGCATGAATATCTACGATCTGGCGTATGAGATGGACCACGAGGCCCTGATGAACGTGTTCATGAATCCCCCGACTGTGATCGAGCCGCGTCAGACGGACATCGGGGCCAGCAACGAGATCTCCTTCTACACGCATCTGAAGCGCGGCGGGGTCGAGAAGGTGGACTCCAACTCCTACGAACTGGTTAAATTTGTGGGTTACTTTCGTAGGTAGACGTGCAGCCGCAAGTGCCTGCATCTACTAATAATGCTCATTCACTTACCCACCCCTCCATGCACAGGCAACGATCCCAACACCTCGGCGGGGTCGCGTTCCGCGAGTCCGAGCGGCAGCCAGTCGGCGCCCGTGCTGCCGCGCATATTTCAGAAGAATCCCAGCGTGCAGGTGGACAAGAAGCTGGTGTTTGTGGGCACGGGCCGCATCCAGAACCCGCAGCTAATACGCGAGATGAGCATCATCGATCCCACCAGCAATGAGTTCACTTCGAAGCACAGCATGGAGTGGAAGTTCCTGTTCCTCGATCACCGCGCGCCGCCAATCATTGGCTACATGCCCTTCGAGGTGCTGGGCACCTCCGGATACGATTACTATCACGTCGACGACCTGGACAGCATTGTAGCGTGCCACGAAGAACGTAAGTCGTTAATTTTTTCACTTTTTCACGCGCACATCAAGCTTCCTCTATTTTCGCGCGAACACTAGATCTGCTCCACCGAAAATGCAACGCTGTAAAATTGGCAGCGCCAGGCGATGCAGTTGGCAGCTCTTGTCTCAGCTGCAGTTTCGCAAGCCACACTTAAAACATAAACTATCAATGCAAAATGCTGCTTCAGTTTTCCCAAAAATCATCTGAGCCATATTCTTTACAATAGGCTTCAGTGCGTCCAATAGGAGCGGAAAAATCCTGCGAATAAGATTGCGCTTTTGAACGTTTTGTTTTCGGCGCCCACATGTTTCTGGCCTGCCAGCAAATTAAAACGATCTGGTCACGCCCAAATTCAATGGCGACAGTGACTGCAGGCCCTTGACCTTTTGTGTTCTCTTGCTTAATAATTACTTGTGGCAAATGCCAAAAGTCTCTATCCTGCTCTTCAGAGAAATAAACGGGCGAAGGGAAGACTTCCTGTCACCTATCCTGCTTACAAATTAAAGGCGCTGAGCACTTGAATTTCCAGGAACAGCTGTGGTGTCGTTTGTTTTGATTACGATCGAAACGATCTGGCAGCACGCAGCCCCCACTGCAGGCACGTGTTGGCAGCGGCTTAATAAAAAACGAAATACATTCCAAACCACATTAAAGGGTTACAAACTGAAAATTTAACATCTATTTCTATGCTTGAAGCAAACGAATTTTTAATTATCCTCAATGGTTTACCCTCCCCTGTAGTGCGACAAACGGGCGAGGGAAAATCCTGCTACTACCGCTTCCTCACAAAGGGCCAGCAGTGGATATGGCTGCAAACGGACTACTTTGTGAGCTACCATCAGTTCAACACGAAGCCGGACTATGTTGTGTGCACCCACAGTGTGGTGAGCTATGCGGAGGTCATCAAGCACACTCAGAAGGAGAGACAGAAGGCCATCAGCAAGGACAGCAAGGCGCTGGCCGCGACGGCTAGCAGCAGCAAATTGGCGACCGCCACCACAACGCTGAGGGACTTTGAGCTGGGAAACGAGAATCTGGAGAGCACGCTACTGGACAATAGCCTGGCGAATCTAACCAGTGAGACGGCTGCCACCTCACCCACAGTGGACTCGTCACCCATGTGGTCGGCATCGGTGGCGGCAACAACCCCGAGCTCCTGCCAAGTCAATCCGCTGAAGATAGCCAGACCCGCATCGAGCTTTGGCAACATTAGCTCCACGGGCATCTCGCCAAAGCCCAAGCGGAAGTGCTACTTCTACAACAACAGAGGCAATGACTCGGACTCCACTTCGATGTCCACGGAATCGGTCACCAGCAGGCAATCTGTGGCCAGCAGACAGTCGGGAGCCAGCAGGCACTCCATGATGACGCATGCGAGCTCGGTGAGTAGAGCGTGGAGATTAAAGTGTAACTTTCCTCTTACACTGCCATGTTTGTCTCCTTAGCAAAGTCAACGACAGCGGTCCCAGCATCGTGATCACAGTCAAAGTCATAACAATAGCCATCACCAGCAGCAGCAGCAGCAGCAGCAACAACATCTGCAACACCTCCAGCAACAGCAGCAGCAGATCCAACAGCAGCTGCAACAGAACGTGGGGCCGCCCAAGCTGGTGCCCATGCTGCCCATCGGACCCGCGCAGATCATGGCGGGCAACGCGTTTCCCCAGCCCACCTATCCACTGGCCAGCCCCCAGCTGGTGGCTCCTACCTTCCTGGAGCCGCAGCAGTACCTGACGGCCATACCAATGCAGCCAGTGATAGGGCCGTTTCCGGTACCGCCTGTGCCTGTCCTCTCGCCGCTGGCGGTGTCGGGTCAAGGCCAAGGTCAAGGCCAAGGTCAAAGCCAAGGCCAGCAGGAACTCGTCCCCGGCAGTGTGGTGATGACGCCCACGCAGAGTCAGCTGCAGGACCAGCTGCAACGGAAACACGACGAGCTGCAGAAGCTGATCATGCAGCAGCAGGACGAGCTGAGGATTGTGTCGGAGCAGCTGCTCCTTGCCCGCTATACGTACTTCCAGCCAGTGGTGCAGATGGGGCTCCCACAAAGCAACATGGCATCTGGCACGGCGATGCCCAATGCGGCGGGCGGCAGCGTACAGCGCGGATTCAACTTCTCGGGCACGAATGCAGTGCAGCCGCAGTTCAATCAGTATGGATTCGCGTTGAACTCGGAGCAAATGCTGAACCAGCAGGACCAGCAAATGATGATGCAGCAGCAGCAGAACCTGCACAGCCAGCAGCAGCACAATCTGCAGCAACAGCACCAGAGTCAGAATCAACTGCAGCAGCAGCAACATATGCTGCAACAGCAGCAGTTGCAGCTGCAACACCAGCAGCAACAGCAGCAGCAGCAGCAACAACAGCAACAACAGCAGCAGAACGACATGTTGTCGCGCGAGGACATCGAGGACATTGATGCCTTTCTCAATCTGTCGCCGCTGCAGGCGCTCGAGCCTTCATCGGCGCTCAACACCAGCCACAACAACAACACTTCGTCACACTTTAACAATGGCAATGGCAGCAGCCAGAACAATATCGGCCACAGTAACAACAACAACAACAACAACAACAATAACAACAGCAGCTCGACTGCCCCACAAAATCACAACGAAGACTCGTTGCTGTCGTACATGCAGATGGCCACGAGTCCCTCGGTCAACTTTCATATGGGCATCAGCGATGACGGCTCCGAGACGCAAAGCGAAGACAAGATGATGCTGGGTCGCAGCAGCAACCACCTGCAACTGCAGCAGCAGCACCTACTTCAGCAACAGCAACAGCAGCAGCAGCAGCAACAGCAACACCAACAGCAGCTGCAGCAGTCGAGCAACTTTTACCACACGAATCCATTCCTCACCCACCTGCAGAATCAGAGTCAGAATCAATTGCCCAACGACCTGGAAATATTGCCCTTTCAGATGTCGCAAGAGCAATCACAGAATCTATTCGATGCGCCAAACACAGCCACCGGCGGAAGTCAATAACACATGTAGAACCCTAGTTCGTAAGCCCCATAGATCCTCCTCCAGTATGTTTCCCTCTCCCGTGGTGGTATTATCTATTAGCTAGCTGTCTCTCTATCGACCTTCTCTTGGAACTCCTTTCGGGACTAGTTGTAGATCTCAACAGACTGAGTATTGTTCTACTAAGAGTTGGAATGTGCCCGTGTGTTTGTGTGTATATATGTCGTATGTACATACGTGTAGAAACGTTCTCAAAATGTGTACCCATAAGTAGGTTTTAATTGTTAGCAATTAGCGAGAAGAGCCCATCGTTTGCATAAGCCCCCAAATTATCCAGTAAGTGCCATTGCGGCGCACACAGGGATCTCTGATATGTAATCGAACCTTAAACCCTAAAACGTACGCCTAAACTAGTGTACATAACGATGTAAGCAATGCTAACCCAATTGTATATCGTTTCCAAGACTGGGCTTCCCTACTGGAGTCAATTTACCTTTTAAGCGTCGATGATGAATGATGGACGATAGCTATACCAACTCAGGTTGAGACTGCAACTGCTGTGAGCATATTCCGATAAGTTTTCCTCATGCCTGAGTTTTTCCTGAAGAGGAAAATGAAATTAGATGTAGCCTACTCTCTGGATAAGCTCATTCGAATATGTTTCGATCTTCAGCCTTGAACTTTCACATGCAGCTAAGCCTTGTAAATAGCTTCAACTCAACTACAACTACCTTAATAGCTCTAGCCAACTCTGTGTTTAAGCTCTGTACATACCTATAGGACAAGTCGGGAGTACTTCCATAAGCCTGTACATAAAGTAACGATGATGACGGACATGATGATCTAGAACTAATTTGTACATAACGAGAAGATGATTCCAAGATGAAAAATCTAATCAAAATCAACAAAAATACAAAAAATATATATGTTACAAGTAAATGAACAGAAAAATGTATACAATTTTCGTAATTATTTATTTAGCATGTACAAATACAGAAAACATTCCTAAAGATCTATGGAGAGAGGGCGTACGTAGGTAAAAAAGTAGATGTAGAATGCGCTTTCCGCTTTCAGACACGTAGCTTGTCAACGGCATTCTGAAGAATCTGGAACTCGGAGTTGATGGTGTTCATAAGATTCGATATCTGGTGCTTAGAGTCCAGCACTTCGACACTCTGCGTGTAGGCATTGTAGCGGACACCAAACGGACGTGGAATCGAGTTGGCAAATTTACTAAAAGCCACAAACCAAAACCAGTTAAAGATCTAAACGATTTTCAGAGGGGAAATGTTCGACTTACATGGTCTTCTCCTTGGCACTCTCGAAGCTGTCGGCCACATAGTAGAGGGGCTGGAACTGTGTGATGGGATACTTGGTAACACCAGTCACCTCTGGCTCAAAGTCCTTCAGCATGGGCTTCTCCGTGAGGCAGTACTCCAGCTCGCCGTAGGAGGAGAGCAGACCAGCGCCGAAGGCCTTCAGCTCACCCTCCTGACGGCACAGACCGTACTCCACAGTGAACCAGAAGATCTAACAGCAAGCGGGAGATGATTTAACAGGGACTATTCAGGGACGTAGAGAGTATATCCTACCGTTGAGAGCTTCTCAATGTAGTCGTCTGGGGCTCCCAGGGATGCCAGGCCAATCTCCTGACTGAACTGAGCAAAAGCAGGATCGGCAAAGAGGGGCACATGCCCCAGCAGCTCGTGGCAGACATCGGGCTCGGGCGTGTACATGGGCTTGCTGGGATGCCGAATGTACTGAGTGGAGTGGAAGACGCGGAAGGCCAAGCCGGCGAGAAAATCGCGGGAGCTGAGCAGACCAGCCACGGGACGAAGGGTGAAGCCAGTGCAGTCTGCGGTAATGGAGCCAAAAGTTGTATAAACTTTCCCTTGGAGTGTGTGTGTGAGTGTATGGTAACTTACCCCTCAAAAAGTTGGAGACATCCTCCAGCTGTGGGATATTGTCCTCCCTGAAGCCACAATTGTCCACCAGCAGGGGGAAGACATGATTGTACTCCCGGCAGGCGTGCGTCTTGTAGAGCTTCGTCAGATTGCGAAAGATAATGGCCCAGGTCTCGATCTCCTCCTTGGAGTACTCCACATGGGGCAGAGTCTCGCCGTGCTTGTAGTTGTAGGCAATGTCCGCAAAGTACTTGCGGCGCTTGCGGTACTCCGGATCGGTAAATCCGGGATGATCGGAGTCCAGCTCGGCGCCGTAGCTGAGAATCTGATTGGCAAAGCGATCTAGATCGCGTATACGCCGTGGAAACCAAGGCACAGCCGTGGCATTGTCCTTGTAGTCTCGGGAAATGATATTGAAGTAGCTGCACTGCTCCTTCACATCGTCAATGGCCCTGCCCAGGGCCCCTGACTTGCCGTCGCACTCCACGAAGAACTCATAGCCGGGGACACGTAGCGAGGAGCGGGACTCAATGTGCACCAGATTGATGTCGTGCTTCTTGAATATGGCCAAGATATTGGCCAGGGCACCGCTGGACAGCGACGAGTCCTTCGGCGAGAACAGCAGGCAGGTATTCCTGGCCTCCTGAATGTCCACACCCTCGGCAATATACGCCGAGTCCTCAATGCGCGTTGGCTGTTGGATGAGGGAGAACTCTGATTAGCCACGCCACTTTGTTATCGCTTATCGCTTGGAAAAACAATCCCAGCCATTTATTGACACAAACTGTGACCCCCAGACTGGTGCATCAATCGGGGCAACCCTCTCGTCCCTCATCCCGCACCACTCATGATCAATCACAAACTATTGTAAGCCGATACAATTGATTTGCTTAGAGCGAGGATCGAATTTCAAAGGTTAGCCAATGCCAAGCCGCACGACTTGCCACAGACTGGTACATCATGTACCTAAGGTCTATATGCATCTCGAAGGTTTAGGTCTGACCGCAATGCCATTCAGTGCATATAGCCCTGGGCTTCACCTAGAACTTGCTGAGGCACAGGGAAGGTTGCTCTGCCACAAGGCAAAAGATGCTTAGATCTAGTTTCTCATAAATATTCCACTGAGGATGTCTCTTTTCTATGGTTTTTATTTTTGATTACTCCAGAGAACAATACACTAATACACTCTCAGTATTCAGTTCTATAAATATTCCTTTGTCTTGCAATCTGTAGAGTTAACCCAATTTCATGGCAGCTCGAATTGATTATAGATCCGCTTTCTTGGCTGCACGAATACTTATGCGTAAAACTTTGTTTTTATTGTAATAACACGAGTACTTCGAACATTATTTGCGTTTCCTTTCAAGGTTAGCAAAAGTTCGAATCGGGTACACAATAATATAAACTTGTTATTGTTCTTGCCATTATTATTATTGTTATTCAGCGTAGCACTTTCTAAAGTCATGCGTTCATACATCCACACGTACTATTATGTATGCATGTACATACGTATGATGTACAGGAACGAACCTTATCAAAGGAGACCTGACGCTGGTACATTTTCAAGCGTTTCTTCTCTTTTCACTTTTCACTGCGAGATGGGAGAACAAGAACCGAAAGAACTGGCGAACGCACCGCTCAGCACACGATTTAAAACTGATTTAATTTCTCGTTTAATCTCGCGCTTAAATAGACTTTTTTGCTATGCCCCAAGCCACACGGGCTCCATAGCTAATCTCGTGGTGAAGTGAAACCGACAACCGAGTGGAAACCAGTCAACAATAATGCGATCAATCGGGCGAGTGAACGATCTTGGAATAGCATCCACATGCGGCCCAATCTCAGCGCTAACTGTGGTCTATGGCCAGTGGGCTATGGCTATGGGGTTATCAGTGCCTGCGGTAGATAGGCCTACATCGTCTAACATCTCATGCCAGGGGTCACATGTTAAATGGTTCTCTCTCTCTCTCTCTCTGACTACAGTTCTACGACTCGAGTATACCGTATAGAAATATTCCTAAAACGATTTGATTGCTCTGCTGGGGGGCTGTCCAGAATAAGAACAGATTATGACTGGAATTTCGGCTAGTTTCTAATTTTTGTTTTCGCACAACGAATGGAAATAAAACTGAATAATCTTAAATGGTTTCATAATGAGACATGACAGGTTCTAACCAAACAAGTTCAACGGCATTTCGGGGCAATTATTTTGTAGTGAATAATAAATTGGATGTGGATGTGGTTGTGGTTGTGGCTGTGAAGGTGGAGGTGGGGCCCGGCACGCGCTGTATCTGTTGTTCCACAAATACGTTCCACAAATATAGTAGCAATAAGGAATAACAGGTAGATTCATTTAAAGCGGTCGTCTAGCATTTACATATTTACATTTCTTAATCTTATTAGTGGAACCCTTTCTAAATAGCTTTCAGCTCAGATAAGCCTATTATTTGTGGATCGCATTGACTACAGTACAAGTTGAGAGTTCACTTCAGTTGGGTAATGGCACACACACTACAGATTAAACCACAATCCGATCCGAATATGATGCAATATTTGAAAGAGTTTACAAGACCCAGAAACAAACAGTCCATCAACGTTTGCACTTATCTGCAAGAATTTCAACATCAAACACAATACAATGACAACGAATATTACATTTAAAATATTTATTTATTTAAATTAGGCATTAAAAAGATTTACAAAAGTATTTGCATCAATGGCGCCTCCAATGGTATTCCTCCCACTCTTCTCGTTTGCCTCTCTGCTCCTATGAGAAGATAGTTTATAGCTTAAGTAGTGGGCTCTAGAAGTTTGTGTTGTATCGATGCCAGAGCGAGGTGAGGGTGCCGCGTTTCACTTGCGTCTGGGGACTCGTTTGCGGGCGCACGTTCTTCAGAGTGCAGCCCACGGGCAGGTTGACCTACAAAGCGACGACAAAATCGAGATGCAATCGAATGAGATACAGATACAGAGACAGATCAAAAACCTTCGCTGTTACGCTTATATTACTGGCTCTGGCTTTGGCACACTTACGGATTGGTGGGCCGTCACTCGAACTGGCTCTTTATCGGGACAGACCACATAGGACCCGTGGCCATCGAACAGACTGCTGCTGGAGGCTGGCTTCTCCCTAAGTTGTGCTGCCGCCGACTCGGACTCGGGAAAGGCTATATCTGGCTGTGCAGGTGCAGGTGCGGGCTTGGCAGCTGCAAAATATAGCTTCTATGTAATGATGGTTCCAACATGAACTTGATTCGTTCTCTTACCCTTCACATGAATGTGGAAACTACAGCTCAGGGTCACACCATCGGTGGTGGTGGCCTCGTATTTGATGGCATGATTGCCCAGCCTGAACAGGGCCCCAGGGAACTGCAAGTAAATCATTCGAATGATATATTTACATTCAGTTTGAGTATCGATTCGAGTACTTACATGGGACTTGAAGATCTTCAACAGTTTGCCCTCGAAACGGGGCTCTTCCCAGACAACTGATCGCAGATTCTGGTTCTCCTTCAGATGAACCTCGATCGAGGGTGGGCAGTAGTTGGATGTATCCGAGCCCAGGTCCACCCGGAAGCTCTCAGTGCGCTCAGGAGCAGCACTGGCAAGCTTCTCTGACTCTAGTTTTGGGTACGACACGGGGGCAGGTGGTGCCGAAGGTTCCGGAAGTGCAGATAGTCTGGCAAATTGAGAGGACCTGGAAAATGTGGGAAACGGTGCGGGTGCGGGTGCGGGTGCAGGCGCTGAAGACCGAGAGGAAAATGTGGGAAATGCAGCAGTTCTGGAGAATCCTGAATGACTCTGAACTGGAGCGGATGAGAATGTGAACAGATTCGACTGTGTCGTTGGCGCCGCCTTGATGGTGATGATCGTCTGGCAGGCGGCACTCTGCATCGTCTGTGGGTGCTGAGCGCGGAAAGCAATCTTGTGGACACCAGCAGGAAGGTGAGCCTCCAGCTGCTTGGCCCAGGCGGGAGACACAGCCACATATCGGTAGTCCACATTCGTCTGGGGCCTCTGCAGCGTCACGTGAGCCTTGACCTCGCCGCGATGCAGCAGGATGACCACATTCTCAGGACACTTGATGTAGGGTTGAGCTCTTGGTGCTGCCTGCTGTACGGGGGGCACGTTCTGCAGAGACTGCGATCGGATCCAGGGAAGCTGGTTGTTGTTGAAGAAACTCATGCCGAATGGCTGACAGTTGAGTTGGGATCCGAAGGACCAGCCCTGAAGGCCCATGCAATTGGCCAGCATAGGTCCAGTGGGCAAGAAGCCGGAGTTGCACTGCAGGCGGCAGATGGTCCCAATTCTGGAGGGCCCCTGCGTACAGCTGGCTGGTGAGATGAAACCATTGGCGGCCGGTTTCAGGGCAGGACATATCTGCACACGACGCTGAACAAGAGCTGCGAGGATGTTGAGATATTAGGGATTGACTTCTGGATGATTGCATCCCATCTGATACTTACGCACACACTTGTTCTCCTGGCCCTCCCAAATACCAGCGGATCCGCAGCTCCTGATCTCCGATCCTTGGAGGGTGAAACCGGGATTGCAGGTGACTCTGCAGCGGCTGTTGTAGAATTGGGTGCGCTTGTGGCGATACTTATTGCAGCGAGCTTTGCCGTTCACCGGCGCCTGGAAGCGAGGACAGGCATCCCGTGGTTGTGGCTGGGACGGACTCACCCAGGGAATCCGAGGGATCTGGGGAAGTCTGGTGTTTACTGATACAAACGAAGGTAACCTTGGGGCTTCCGGAGCTGCAGACGGATACTTTGGCGCCTTGTTTAGCGAGGGAAATGTGGGAAATGGATTCGCTTTGGGTAACACGGGAAGAGCAGGTGTCAGGCGCTCGTCTGGACGAGCTTTGGGCAGCTCGGGAAACGTGGGAAATGGATTTGCTTTGGGTAGCTCGGGAATAGGCGAGGCCCTCGGTGGTTGAGGCACATCCAGGCAGGTCCTGCCATCGATGGAGAGCCTCTTACCGAGGCCACACTCACACCGGAAACCGCCAGGCTCATTGACACAGCTGCCAGCCACACAGCTCTCCGTGTCCAGCGAACACTCGTCCACATCCTGGCAGGTCCTGAGATCGCCGTCCAGCTGGTAGCCGGCTGGGCAGGCGCACTGGAAGGAGCCCTGGCTGTTCTCACAACGATGCGAACAGCCGCCGTTGTTCAACTGGCACTCGTCGACGTCCACACAGCTGCCATCTGCACCGAGCAGGAGGCCCAGGCCGCATTTGATAGGTTCGCAGCCATCGGAGGTCTGCTGACTGCCAGGTGGACAGCCAACCAGGGCGGGGCGACAGCTGCGATTGTCCTCCTCAAGGATGTAGCCCAAGGGGCAGCCGCACTCGAAGCTGCCATTCTTGTTTATGCACTCGTGGGTGCAGCCGCCCGAGAGGAGTCCGGCGCACTCGTCTATGTCCTGGCAGCTCCTGGCGTCGGCGGACAGCTCGTAACCGCGCTCGCAGGCGCAGGCATGGGTACCTAGAAGATTAATGCAGATGTCGCTACAGTTTCCGTACTCCTGCGAGCACTCGTCGATGTCCAAGCAGCCAAAGCCATCCGGGGTGATCTCGAACCCGGACTCGCAAGCGCAGGCAAAGCCGCCCGGCTGGTTGAGGCAAAGCTGCGTGCACTGACCATTGCTATGCAGACATTCGTCGATGTCCTGGCAGGTGCGCCCGTCCTCTGCGAGAGCATACCCCAGTGGACAGGCGCACTGGAATCTGCCCGGCAGATTCAAGCAGAAGTGCGAGCAGTTGCCGTTGCCCAACGAGCACTCGTCAATGTCCAGGCACGGTGAGGGTTCAGATGATTTGGATGCTGATGAAGATTCGTTAGGCGATGATGTGGATGATGATTCGGTTGATTCGGATGCGATGAGGTGATTGTCCAAGCCTAGAGCATAGCCCGCTGGACAGAGACAGGTGTAGGAACCATTGAGATTCTCGCAAAGCATTTCCTGATGGCACTCGTAAGTCTCCGTCGCGCACTCGTCAATGTCGAAGCAGTAGCCCCGCATACCCTCCAGCCGCAGCAGCTCATAGCCGGGCGAGCACTCGCACCCATACGAACCTGGCAGATTGCGGCACACCTGCTGGCAGCCACCGTTCTCCACCAGACACTCGTCAATGTCCTGACAACTCTTGCCGTCTGCGCCGAGGCGGAAGCCGTCGCGACAGGAGCAAGCCCCGCCTCGAGCCGTGAGGCAGATCTGCTCGCAACCATTGTTGTTGACCTCGCACAGATCCTCGGCCACGCACGTGAACTCCTCGACGAGGGTCAGACCCACAGGACACAGACACTGGTAGCCACCGTCGGTGTTGAAACAGCTGTGGCTGCACAGATGGCTTTCCTCTGCACACTCGTCGATGTCCTGGCAACTGAAGAGCTCGCTCGTGTAGCCAGGGGGACAGAGGCAGCTGAAGCTGCTGTTGTCCTCGCTGGGCACACAGCTGCCCGGCCGGCAGCTGTCGTGGCCGTGCTCCGTGGTGCAGGGCGACTCGGCCACCACACAACTGTGCCGATCCTCGGCCAGATCGTAGCCCTGGGGGCACTTGCACTTGTACTGGCCATCGGGCAGGTCCTCGCACTCGTGCGCACAGCGAGTGCGATTCAGTTTGGGATTGTCCAGGTCCTCGCAACCGTCGAGGGCGCAGCTCTGCTGATCCTCTAGCAGATGGTAGCCCGGATGGCAGCCGCAGCGATAGGAGCCGATGGTGTTGTGACACTCTTGCTGGCAGAGGTGAGGCTCTTCCTCGCCGTTCTCGATTTTGCACTCGTCAATGTCCTGGCACTCGCTGCCATCGGGCGAGAGCTGGAACCCAGGGTTGCACTTCACCTTGGTGCTGCTGGGTTCCACTTCCACTGGGATCTCGTTATCCTCCTCCGTGGGCTCGGACACTGCAGTGGCGGCCTCCTCCTGGGTGACCAATGGCACCACACAGCGATAAGATCCGGGCAAGTTCTCGCAACCATTTTGACAGTCGCCAGATAATTCCGCATTGGCGCACTCGTCAATGTCTGCAATGGATTGGATTGGATTGGATTTGATTTGATTAGTTTGTACTCCACGAAAGGGCATGGAAATTTCCGATTTGTTTGCTTACCCACGCAAGTCTTTCCCGTTGAGGTATCTATTTGGTAGCCCTGCTGGCAGGCGCACTGAAAGCTTCCCGGCAGATTGTTGCAGATCTCTGAACAGCCGCCATTCGACTCCTGGCACTCATCAATATCTGGTGGAGAGGGGGGAAGAGGGTTTTTACAATGACTTCAATGTACAAGGAAATGGATAGCCCACCAAGACAGCTGACATAGTCGCTCGGATCTAGGGTGTAGCCTTCACGGCAGCTGCACTTCAGGACGGGTTCATTCTCGTCCGGATACAAGAGGCGGCTGCATATGTGCTCGCAGCCTCCGCGATCTTCGCCGCAGTCCTCGTCCAGGAATCGAGGGGCATAGGGATCTTTGGTGGGCTCAACCACAGCACTGTCTTCGGTGACGGCTAATTCTTCAACCTTGACTTCAGGTTCAAGGGGAGTTTCAGCTGGTTCCGCTTCATCGACTCGCACCACAATTTCTGGCTCAGGTTGTGGTTCATCAATCGCTTCTGGCTGTGGCTCGGCTACCACTGGGAGCTCCACAGGCGCTGTGAGTGTTAACTCCTCCACGGACTCCACGACTTCCTCTTCGACTGGCGGCGGAGGTGGTGGCGGCGGTTCGTTCTCAGTCACCTTTGTCTCACCTTCACCAAAGTCTTCTGTGTTGCCATCGCCATTAGTGATGGTCTCGTACTCATCGTAGTCCTCGTCCTCGAGATCCGCATCGGTGTACTCCACCAGGGGAATACATGTGGGCAGCTCACCCACCCACTGCTTCTCGTGGCAGTACATGGCTGAGTTTTCCAGGGACTCGAACTCGTAGTTCTCATTGCAGGCAAAGTAGGCCACGAGGAAGATCTTCTCGCCCCTGCGGCGACGCTCGTACTTGACCACGAGACCGTGGCTGATCTCGGGGGCCATGACCTTTGCCTCGATGCAGCTCATGTCCAGTATCGCAGCCATAGGCAGGGGCACTTTCGGCTCCTCCGGTATGGCCAGAACCCTCTTCTTGCGCTCCGACACTGCAGAAGCTGTGAATGGATGTGTTTCCTTAAAAATTAGCCATCAAGAGCGACATCAACTTACCCTTCACACAAGTGGGTGGCTCTCCTTGCCACTTGTCTGTCTCCGCGTTACAGATGAGCTCCGCCGCTCCCCTCAGCTCGAAGCCCGCCTTGCAGTTGTAGATGGCAGTGATGGTGTCATCATTCAACGCCATCTTTGCCGTGGCATGCCTCACCAATGGCGCCACCTCACAGTCCTCAGGTGCCGCTGTAAAGCCAAAAAAATACACACACACATGGGTTAGTCCGTCAAACAGCTGGATAATAATGGAATGGTGCCATAAAACGCTACCGAAACAATCGTCTCAAATCGTTGCCAAAAGTCTTTGGCCATAGGTTTTCCTACATTTTCTTTTTCCACATTTTCTTTTCGTGATTTACGATCAGGTTTTTATGTCTCTCGTTTCTGAACGCCGGCCGGTAATTAAATGATCTATTTTGCTAGTCGAATGGGGGCCCCGCGTGCTGGCAATGACTCATTTTTTTCTAAGATCACTTCTATAGGAAAAGGTGTCATAAAATAGTACATCTACGGCCCATTAGCTCTTACCAAAAAATGCTCTTAAAACCCAATTTTGTCTTCAGTTTTATGGATTGAAGGGACGCTCATCTGTCACTTGACAAAAAGGAAAATCTAAATGAACATTTTATGGTGATTTAATTAATTCAAATAATATTCTAGAACAGATTTTGAGTAAGAAAAGATCTTAGAATTCTTCCGCTATGACGATTATGGGAAATTTCCTAATAGAAAAATGCCTTCCTGAATATTGAACCCATAAAGTTGTCTTTCTCCGTGAGTTGCCTCATAAGTTTCCGCCCACACTTACCTGCAGCAAATGCAACGCATGTCAGGGCACATAAAACATATTTGAACGCCCACATAGTGCCGCCTTGAACACGAACACGATCCTTTTAGATCCGTTTTCACACCTTTCCACTCACTCACTCGGGGTTTGGGCTGCTTCGGTTTTCTTTTATAAATAAGAAGTCATTAATAAATTTCACGCTTTTCTTGGCTTTGCTTTTCTTTTCTTTCAGAGCAAATTTATGGGACAAGAGATGAAATGGAAGTAGATACATATATATGCTAAGATATATGGAGGTCTTTCCTCCATTAAGATTAAGGCGGCTTTATAAATAGCACACTTTCAACACTTTCCATATATCTGTGTAGGTACACACTCGTATAAGGAGGAACAAAATTTGCTGGAGCTCAAGGAGATTCCACCACTTTTTTTGTACAATTAGAGTTCATTAGGATTATTCCATATTTATCATACATATATGTATAGATATATATGTAGGTATTTCCACTTATTAAAGGAGAAGAGAACCGATTTTTCGGGAAGATGAGAACGCACCGTTTCTGACCAGAGCCAGGGCAAGACTGAAGAGCCAAAGAGATTCCAACTTTTCTCGAAGGGAAGCACACGGAACACACCGAATTTCCCTGTCTCCAAAGATAGATACATATATATATGTATATATGTATATATATATAGACGCTGATATTTCATGACTATCATAAAGCAAATTAGTGCGAGAGCGCACAAGTGTCGTGCGCCCCTCTTCGGGAGAAGGAAACTATTTTTACCCATAGGATGGAGGAATCGTTATCATTAGCATAGGCCCACGAGAATTGATGGCCCTCTTCTGCTCTTCTCTTCCAGATGCTTCGCCACTCGCTTTTGCATTGAACTTGATCGCCGAAATCCTTCAGCAGCTGTCAGAAAATTATTGAAATTAGTTGTCATTCCATTACACAAATAGAACACTCAATCACCTCGCATCAAATGCACCGCCTCGCCTCGCGCTGCTCCGTTCTGGACTGCTCAGTCGTGTCGGTGCCAATTGTAAATTGTTTTCAATTAAATAAAATTAAATACAATACGAAAGTAGCCCGCGTAGGTGCAGCACTCTTCGACTTATTTGGCCAGCCAAACAAACATGTTATTCCGTGGAATAAACAACTCGTATGGAACCTGCAAACGAGTAAATAGTTAAGTAGCTCACAGCCCGAACGTACCTCGTTCCCATATGGGTGGAGAGCAGTCCCTGTCCCCTCTTCCCCTTCGCATCATCCCTCCCTCCCTTGATCTTTTCTAAACAGTAGTTCCAATTGTGTGGCCAGACCTCGGACCTCGGTGTTTCTTGGCTTACAATTTGATTGACAAATTGTTTTGGCGAACAAACAACTGAAAATGGTTTAAGGCTGCACATAATTGACCAATTCGATACATGCGATTGGATTGACAGACAATTGGAAGCGTTTCAAGTCGCTGTGCATTCCACACGTTCAAAGTTGCATCCCAAATTCCATGCTCTTCATTCATTTCCCTTGGCGCGTTTTCAGCCGCACGCGTTTTTAAACTCACATGTATTTTGCGAGCGGTTAAAAACGCTAGAAAATCGCCTAGCGAAAACCATTTGTGGGCGTGCGAACTTTGTTCCACGCTCGCACACTTTGTATGGTCAAATGCCATGGATATACAGATATGTATGTGTACTCGGATCTAGATTAGTTTTTCCATGCGATTTCTGTGCGTTTTCTCTGTGTAGGTTTATGCTCTCGAGGCGGTGGTTCTCGCCGCTGTCGCTGCCATTTACATTTTAACTTAACCTTAGATGGCGTTTGCGGAAATTGCCCAAGGGCGTGGTATGCACATATACGAACGCACGTACGTCTCTATCTAGTATATAGTTTTGTCTGGACAGTCGCAACAGCGAATGTTGTTTGCCCAATGTCTGGGCTTTGAGTCGGATTTATGTTGACATTTTCCTCGGTCGCGTCCCATTGTTTCGGGCCTTGTACGAGCATGGGGACATCCGCTGGGCCCCGTTCCCCAATAAGACTGCTGTCACTGTGTTTCATTAATTAATTATTAATAAATTAACCTTTATTTTATTGAACTAAACAAATCAAATGTTTCCTTGTTAATAACAAAAAGCGTCCAATTATTGTTCTTTTGGATTTGGTTTACTTAGAATTAGGAGACTCTGGAAATCATCAATAAATCTCCGAAATTCCGGGCAGTCCGGTCGTGTCGGGTGCATTAATTGGTCTGTCTTTTACAGAAACTAAAAACAAAACACACAGAAAGCCTCTGCCCGGGGTTAGTTCTTGATGCTTAGATATGAGGGACCCACTTGACGAACGTAGACACTTCGCTCGTTGCTGAGGTACGGCGGACAGCGGACGGTGAGGATGCCATCGGAGGACAGCTCGGAGCGGACGTCGTTGGGGTAGTAGCCGCGGGGCAGCACAAATCGCTTGACAATGTGGCGGCCCACGAAGGTGTCGCCGTCGCGACGCTTCTCGTGCTTCGCCTCCACCACCACCGTGTCCCCCGTGGTCTTCACTGTGATCTCGTACGGCTTGAACTGGTGCACATCCACGTTGGCCTCGAACCCGTCCTTGCCCACGATCACCCTGCTGAGGTCGGGCGCGGAGCCCACGCGCGACAGCGAGCGCTTCCAGTAGGGCAGATCCCAGTCGTTGATGTCCCAATCGCGCCACAAGCGACGGCGATAATCCCAGTAATCCCAATCCGTGTTGTTGGTAGCCGGAACCAGAGCCATCTCAATTCTCTTATGTGTGTGTGTGTTTTCTTAAGGGTCTGTCTTCTCAGGACGCAGCAGTGCAGCGATCGACTACGACTTTTCACGTTTATCGTTCGACTTCGACGCGTTCTCTTCTGTAACGTCCACTCGCGATTTTTGCTCAGAGCAAATTAAACTTGCAACCGACAGAAGCTGCCGCTTTTATAGTGCTACGCCCCAGCGCTTGGAAGTGGGCTCAGCGCCCCAGCACCGATCGGCTGAGACTCGACAGCCACAGCCAATGACAGTTGTGACGTAAAAAGCAGGCAGCAGCAGCAGTATCGGGGTCTCCGTCTCGGGCGATGTTTTCGATTGTTTATCTTGAGAAATTATTTTCTGTTTTGTTCCGAAAGGGGGCTGGCTGGCGGTGGCTCTGTGGGCCGAAAACTTCTATGGCCATGCAACGAGATCTGAATGGCCTTTCCTTGGAGCGATTGGGTGGTTCGTGCTGGGTGAGCTTTATTAGTCTTTGTTGAGCCACTTCCGCAGTGGAGGAAAAGATGGAGCAGAGAAGGTTTTCTGAAGGGTAGAGAGCTGATAAGAGCAGATCGAACTTGTTCCCAGATACATAACATTTGAATACTTTCGACCCAGTATCCCTCCACAAATTGCCCTCCCAAATCATCTTTTACTCATCCATGTTTCCACAACTTTCCCTCTCATAAGAACTCTACTTCCGCCACCGCAAAACCCGACCTTCCCAGCTCCTTTCCAGCCCCATCTACCTCTCTCTGTTGCTCTCTTTGGTGTAGCCATCCAAAACCCATTCTCCCATATCGGCAGCGCCTTTAAAGCAAAACCATGCCAAAAAGCGAACACAAATTCAAAAACTCAATCGAAACAGTCGAAAGAGATCGCTCAGCCTTTTCAACTTAATTACGCAGCATTTCCGCTTGCTTAGAAACAAATGTATCTAAAGCTAAATTGAAAAAAAAGCAAACTTAAAAGCAGAGGCAGATTGGGGAGGGGACATTTCTTTGGCGGAAATCCGAACAGCGCATAATTCTTTTCACTTTTTGACCAAATTTGGCTATGGCTTTGTTGTTGTACATTTTAAGCCGCTATAAGATATAAATCAAACAGATACAGATAAACAGACAGACGGACAGGCAGACAAAGCTAACAGATACATGGATTACAAATACACAATCCATAGATACAACAAGGGAGGGGGCCACTGTGTGGGAGTGGTTGAGGCTGAGGGCTGCTGCGGTAGTCATGACAAAAAGGCAATTTGTACAATTTTCGATGGTCCAATGTTGCGGGAGGGAAGGGAAGGGATGGGGAAGGGGAAGATTAGCCAAAGCGACAACTACAAACACAACATGAGAGACAACAACAATTGTCGCCGCGGCATCTACATAACATTTATGGGCCTAACCTGCCCCTGGGCACCCCGCCCCTCGTTACATAGAACCCGTGTGCACAATCATCGATGGGATTGGGATTGGGATTGGGATTGGCGTTGGCCCACCCAGATTGCAATTGTAATTATACTTTTGCGGGTTAATGTATTTCGCTGATAGTAGCTACTCGTCGAAGCCCCTAAGATGGCATTTGATAATAGCTATGACAAGCCTCACAGCAGGTATGGGTATATGTAGGCATGGAGAGTCATATCGACCAAGTTCAATGGGTAAAGTAAGTATATCTGATGAAGCTTAGTCAGCTTAGGCAGCACGAACAGTGCTGGGCAGACGAATAGCATCACACATCCGAGTAGGTAGAGTAATGCCATAAATTATAGGCACATCTCTCAGCACTTTGGAACTTAGAATGTTCCGCTAAAAAAAGAAATGAATGATGTAAATTATAGAAGAGATGTTTACATGGAATGACACACCTATTTGGGGCCCCGTTCAAACTTCTTTGGCTTCTTAGGAAAAATAATCAAAAATATAATTTATATATTTTTAGTCCCACCAGACCCAACAAAATAGCAGACTAAAGACAAAACCCAATAACATGTAGCACAGTGTGATGGGTAAGGGAGAGAGCGAGGTGGGCGGTGGGGGCACATCTTGTTTGGAAATCAATCGCAGTGCCGCAGCTGCACAGGCACAATTCATTTGTAATTAAAGGCAAAACAAAGCAATCGACTAATTTGTTTGATTTTATGGCAATTCCCAAGGGTGTAGCCATATCTAAGCAGCAGCAGCAGCAGCAGCAGCAGGAGGAGGAGCTGTGCGTGTGGGTTGTGCCCAACTTTCTTTAGACCTGAGCCAGTAATTATCTAACAAATGACTTTCTATAATCGTAGATCTCATTAGCATCTCGGATAAAGTCACCCACTGCCCACCCACTACCCACCCGTGGCACCTAGCCCGGCCTATGCCCCTTGCTCCCGTTCCCCTAGGGAATTCAATCGAGAGCAGACATTGTTCTGGTCTCTCTTGCCCCTCCACCGCTGTACGAGTAGTTTATGGCTTGCCACAAAATTTGTCGTCCCATGGGGGGATGGCAGTCTGCCAGCTTCTGCGGCACGAACTTACCTCAGAAACAGCTTGGACCATTTGTCTGATTAGCGCAACAGTTTACCCTCCCTTTCCCTTCCAGAACTTACCTAAATCATAATTTAGAATTTTGTTAAAAATGAAATGAAAACTGATAAAATTGTCGCAGACCTAAGCCCCACGGCCCACTCGTTGGCTCTAATGGGTCAAATGCTCAACAATAAATATTCCAATTTGCTTGGCGAAAACAACAAAAATTAATGAAATATGCGAGCAAGGGAGGGAGGCGACTGTACGTCTCTTTTGGTTTGCAGCCTGAAAGTATGCCCTGGATTAAGACGTCAGGTATCACGTATACGTACACACGGATACTTGGATGGCAAACTAA